TCCTGAAGAAACTACAAAACCTCATTAATTTTCCTGAAAACACCATCCTGGCCACTACTGACATAGAAGCTCTTTACACCAACATTCCACATGAGGATAGATTACAGGCTATCAGGAACACCATCCCCAATGATAGCACTGCACACCGTGTTACAGAGCTCTGCAACTTTGTCCTCACCCACAACTACTTACAAATTGTCTCCAAATCGGATCTTCAAGTCAGTGGCACAGCCATGGCACCCGTGTGGCACCACAGTACAGGCAGCCCCCGGGTTACGTACAAGATAGGGACTGTAGGTTTGTTAAGTTGAATTTGTATGTAAGTCGGAACTAGTACATATTGTAGGGGAAATTCTACCCAAACATTTCTCCAGAGCTCAGCTTTATTCTCCCACACCTCACTTCCCTCAGTCCTTTATTCTCAAGCTAAGGTGTCTGCTGAGAAAAGCCGCTCCGTGTCTCCCTGGTCTGCTGGGGGGAAGCAGCTAGTGCGGGGTTGCCTCACCCCGTTTGTAAGTAGGAATCTGATGTAAGTTGGATCCATGTAACCCGGGGACTGCCTGTATGCCGATGTCTTTATGGCTGACCTTGAACAGTGTTTCCTCAGCTCTTGCCCCTAGCATCCTTACTCTACTTACGCTATATTGATGACATCATCATATGGACCCACAGGAAAGAGACCCTTGAAGAATTTCACAGGGACGTCAACTTCCACCCCACCATCAACCTCCAGCCTGGATTAGTCCGCACAAGAGATACACTTTCTTGATACTACAGTACAATTAAATGATGGACAAATTTCTATCACCCTATATTGGAAAGCTACCAACCGCTACACTTACCTTCATGCCTCTAGCTTCCATCCCAGACACATTTCCCAATCAATTGTTTACAGCCAAGCCCTAAAATACAACCGGATTTGCTCCAATCCCACAGACAGACACAAACACCTACAGGCTCTATATAGAGCGTTTTTACAACTGAAATTCCCACCCGGAGAAGTGAAAAAACAAAAACATCAACAGAGCCAGAAGAGTACCCAGACATCAGCTACTTCAAGACAAACCAGGAAGAGAAAACAACAGAATTCTATTTGTCACCACCTACAGCCCACAACTTAAACCCCTGCAACGCACTATCAGCAATTTAGAACCTATCCTGGAAAATGACCCCTCACTTTCAGAGACCTTGGGGGAAAGGCCAATCCTCGCTTACAGACAAGCCCCTAACCTCAAACAAATTCTTACCAATAACGATGCAACACACCTCCATCAGAATCATCTAGGACTGTGGTCACCAACGCGTCGATTGCGATCTACTGGCTGATCTTGGGGGCCCAACTAGTCGATTGTGAGACTTTTGGGGGGCCCACCCTCCAAGATGAATACCGCATTGATGCTACCTCCAGGAACAACGGAGGTAGCGCAGGCTTCCAGCGGGGTGGGGAGTTCTGCAGCCTCGCGCCTGGTATCGGAAGTGCTCTTCCTCCCAACTGAACAGCCCGTCGATTGCGATCTACTGGCTGATCTTGGGGGCCCAACTAGTCGATTGTGAGACTTTTGGGGGGCCCACCCTCCAAGATGAATACCGCATTGATGCTACCTCCAGGAACAACGGAGGTAGCGCAGGCTTCCAGCGGGGTGGGGAGTTCTGCAGCCTCGCGCCTGGTATCGGAAGTGCTCTTCCTCCCAACTGAACAGCCGGCTCGGTACCTAAAATTCCGGCCCGTCGCAAGCTGGGGACTTCGTTCCCCTGCTGCCTTCCTGCACGCGGGGAAGGGGTTGGGTGTCTGGGACTGTGCTGGCTCTGGCTGCTCAGGCAGCACATGCTGCCGCGGGGAGGGGAGGAGTAAGGTGCAAGCTTCCTGGGCGGTTGCCGTTGGTGTGAGCTGGGACTCCCCCTTCCTCTGTAGGCAGGCAGCAGGGGAATCAAGTCCCCAGCATGCCGGCTCCAGCTGCTTGGGCAGCACATGCTGCCCAAGCGGTTGGGGCTGGCGAGGTCTGGGACTCTCCCCGCCCCTTCCCTTATTTATTCTTGGATCTGGACTTCTAATACTCCTGTCATCTGACGAAGTAGGTTGCACCCACGACAGCTCATGATACCATGTACATGTTTTGTTAGTCTTTAAAGGTATGTCTACACTAGCCACCCTAGTTCGAACTAGGGTGGCTAATGTAGTCATTCGAACTTGCAAATGAAGCCCGGGATTAAAATATCCCGGGCTTCATTTGCAAGTTCGAATGACTACATTAGCCACCCTAGTTCGAACTAGGGTGGCTAATGTAGTCATTCGAACTTGCAAATGAAGCCCGGGATTAAAATATCCCGGGCTTCATTTGCAAGTTCGAATGACTACATTAGCCACCCTAGTTCGAACTAGGGTGGCTAATGTAGTCATTCGAACTTGCAAATGAAGCCCGGGATTAAAATATCCCGGGCTTCATTTGCAAGTTCGAATGACTACATTAGCCACCCTAGTTCGAACTAGGGTGGCTAATGTAGTCATTCGAACTTGCAAATGAAGCCCGGGATTAAAATATCCCGGGCTTCATTTGCAAGTTCGAATGACTACATTAGCCACCCTAGTTCGAACTACCTATCCTGTGCCGCGTGTAGCCGTGGGCAGGAAGTCTGAACTATCGGGCATTTAAAAATGGCGGCGCCCAGGAACATGCAATTAAAGCCCGGGATATTTTAATCCCGGGCTTCATTTGCAAGTTCGAATGACTACATTAGCCACCCTAGTTTAAACTAGGGTGGCTAGTGTAGACATACCCCAAGGTACTACTACTCTATTTAAGTTTTTCCTGGAATCTTGAAGTTATGTTAGTATTTATACAGAGCTTTGAAAATGTAAAGTTGTGTTGCAGAATCTTAATGCACATTTCAGTGCTATTAAAAAAAATCTACTTGCCCTGTTCTTTAACATAGTCTTACACCATCTACATAAAAGCCCTGGCAAAGTAATGACAAACTAAAATTTTGTATAGCAAATTATTTGTTCATACTGCTCTGTATAGTGTATACTGAAATGTCAGTACAATATTTATATTCCAGTTGATTTATAATTAATTATATGGTAAAATTGAAAAAGTAGTCAATTTTTCAGTAATAATGCCCTGTGAGGTGGCACTTCAGTTTTTCCTATGCCTGATTTTTTGTAAGCACTTTTCAACTGAGGTAAAACAAGACAGATCAGACTCCTGAAAGGGGTACAGTAGTCTGGAAAGATTGAGAGTCCTGTTTCTGATTTGTGCTCTTCTCCATTGGCCAAACATGATTGCAGTTTGATTTGCCTGTTCCACTGTACTTCCAGTCCCATTGCCATAGTGTGTCTCTTAATGAGCACTAGGGATGTTAAGATATCAGTTATTTTAGTAATCATGTAGCTGCAACAACTTTTAGCAGTTACATGGTTACTAAAATGCTCTCCCTTGGGAGCGGGGCCAGGAGCCAGTGCACTCCCAGCCCCACTCCTGAGGAGCTCCCTGCGCTGCTGCTTCAGATACAGAGGTAGCAGCATGAGGCGGTAGGTGGAGCGGGCTAAAAAATGGCTCCCTGCACAGACTGGCTTCTCCCTGCCACCCCTATCCACAGGGGGCCCTAGCACCCTGCGGACAGAAGCTGCTCTGACATCCTGCCTGCTTCCCTACTCTCCCCTCTCCCCTCCCCCGCTGCCTCTGTTAAACAGACAGAAGAGGGGAGGGGAGGTGGCTCTGCAGAGCTGGTACTTTTGGGGAGCTGGTTTTTAAACCAGCTCTCTCTCTCCCCCCCCCCCTTCTCCTCCCAGAACTGGCTCCTGCCTCGGTGGGAGGCAGAAAGGGTGAAGCAGGTGTCTTCTTTGTGCGTGCTGGTTCCGAGAGCTGGCTTCCTGCATGTACCAGCAGCCACCTCCCCCTCACACACACACACACACCACTGCTGAGAGGGGATGAAGGGGGTAGGTGGGAATGTGAGAACCAGCTCCTGCCTCCCGCTCACTGCCTCGGGTACAGAGGTAGCAAGGGATTGTGTGTGTGTGTGGTCATTAGAATTAATCAATAAGCCCAGACTTATTGGTTAATTGTTCAAATGACCAGAGTTCGCTGTCCAGTGTTCTGCTCATGCGCAGATCGTTCTGCTCATGCGCAGATCACCCAAACCCGGCTCTTCCGGGATGTAATCTACTCGCCATAGGTGAGTAGATTACATAGATTGTCGAGCCCTGCAAATGACTATATACTAACATCCCTAATGAGCACCATCTAGACTGATGTCTCTAAAAGAAGGGTAATTTGAGTGGGCTGACTGTGGAGGCATGTTGATAAAAATTACAGTTTTACCCCCTGCATTTCTTTAATATACAACTAAAGTATATTAAAACTTGCCTTTTCAAATGAGCAGCTATAGAAACTAAATTAGTGTGTGTCAAATTTGGAATGTTGATGAATGCTGAAATATTGATATTTGGAGAAGCTCTTTGAAATTGGAGAGCCTCCAGAAGCGATGAAAGAATTATTGTTAGATCTAAAAATACCTATCCCTTAACTCTCATGTATCAACTTTTCTTTCCGCCTTTGCCTATTAATGCAGATAGTCATTTAAATATCATCTGCTCTTTCCTAGCCCAAATTTTCATCTATTTTATCTGGCTTTGAAATCATAATGAATTTCTAATATCTTGGTCATTTTTATGTTAACGCTAATGCTATGGCTTAATTGCAGGGTTAATCGGAAATAAAACAGAGAAAGAATACTTGTTGAAAAATCACACACTTGAAATAATAGGATACATAAACACGTAATTTTCTGTATAAATGGATCTTTATTTTTGTTTGCTATAGTGTGATAAAGCATCTTTAAACAAATCATGGTAAAAATTATGGGCCAAGTGCTGCTTTTTGGGGGAAAAAATAAGAGCAACTCCCATTGACTCAAATAGGCTGTGTGTATTGGAGTGGAATTGGATTGTGTTTAGAGAACTTTGTTGTTGAGAATAGTGAAATACAGAAAAATAACTATTTCCCCCTCTTTCTTTTTACATCTGTAGAACAATTTGGGCATCCTGTGGTCTGAAAGAGGTGAAATAAAAACAGCCCAGACTTACTTGGAATCTGCAGAAGCCTTGTATAATCAGTACATGAAAGAGGTACTTTTAATACAGCTTATTTCACACATATATTGCACTCTCTTTTTTGTGTGTGTTATGGCAACACCTAAAGAGGCCAGCCAGCACTGAGGATTATGCTGAGTCCAGTAGAGTAAATTTTGTAAAAGATGGTCCATGTCCTGAAAATTGCATGTGTGAGAAGGACATGATTTTTGAGCCTTCATATACAAAATTATTTCTTGTTAAACATTTTTTTTTTTTTTTCTTGAAAAAAAATCTTGGAGAAGCATGTTTTCTGAGTTTCCTGCTGGCAGTTACTGTGCTTCTGAAAAGTGATGTGTGCTGCTAGCACTATGAGAAGCTGAGATCTGATGTCATAACAGGGTCAATGCTAATTTAATAATCAGCAAATTGACTTAAATACTAAGATAAGTAAAATATTCATTGTTGAAAGGTTTTTTTAGCCAGAATTCAGATGGAATCTAGATTCCAGTAGTTTTCTTTAACATCATACTGATATAATTGTAAAGCTATCCCTTCTAATTAACCAGAAAAAAAGTTAATCTTGAATATTCCTGAACTGTCTGAATCATGTTTGTTGTGACAGTTTATAATGTTGCATGTGTAACTGCCACCAAGCAGATTTGAACCTGGGACTTCTGAAGCTCAGTATAGGAGCCTCTACCCTTGAGCTAAAAGCCAGGTGGCCCATGCTCTAGAGCAGTAGTCTCCAACCTTTTTACACCCAAGATCACTTTTTAAATAACAGAACAAGCCAAGATCTACTGCCCCGCCCCTTCCTTGAAGCGCCCCGCCCTCTCTATTCTCCTCCTCTCCATCACTTGCTATTCCCAATCCTTATACTGCTGCTTTTTTTCCCCCCCAATTCTTCTGTAGGAAGAGGTTTTTCCAACATTTGGCCTGTCTAGACTGGACCAAATGTCAGAAAAAACCCTTCTTTTGGAAGCCCCCTTATTCCTCGTGGAAAGAGGAATATAGGGGTGACTGAAAGATAATGTTTGCTGTTCCACTAAAAGAAGCGGAAGAACAAACGGATCCTGGATGCAGAACTGTTTTTCTGGGATATCTCCAGAATCCTGAAAAACTCCTGCAGTCTAGCCATACCCTCGCTGGGTTGAGACAGGATGTGTAGGCTCTGGGGTGGGAATGAGGGATTTGGTTGTGGGAAGGGGTGAGAGGTGCAAGCTCTGGGAGGAAATCTGGATACAGGAGGAGGTGGATAAGGGACACTGGCTTGGGGAGGGGGCTCCAGGCTTGGCAGTGTTGAGGTCAGATGTAGGGTTAGGATACTAAGCAAGCCACAGACTTCTGGATGTGAGGGTTCAGGAATTTGGGTTGGGGTATGTGAGGGGCTCAGGGCAGGGGATTCCAGTGTGAATGATAGGCTCAGATGTAGGGCCTGGGGGAAAGAGGGAGTGCAGGAGTGTTATGATGCTGTGGCCAGATGGGGGCTTGGCCCCAATTGGGTGTGTGTTGGCCAGGCTTCATTTTTAAATAAAATACTTTGTGAAATACAAGTTTCTGCATTGTCTTTATTTCTGAGAAGGGCAGGGAACCTGTTTTGAGTCAGGGGTCACTGACCCACAGAAGTCAGTTGGGGCCACACAAGTGAGATGTGAAAAAACCCTCCTCCAACCCTTCCCCCCCACCCCAAGCTTCACTAGTGTGGCCCCAACTGTGTTGGTGGGAGCAGAAGACATAGTACTGGGGAAGGGTGCTAGTGGGTGCTTCGGCATGGGACTGGGTGCCAGTGGGGGCAGGTTTCTGCAGCAGAGGACAGGGGAGTGGGGACAGACTTCTGTGGCTGGGAAGTGGGGAGAAGGAACAGGGGGCAGGGGAGAGGGAACAGGGTGCCAATGGGGGCAGAGTCCCCTGCACCCGCCTCCTCCCAGGAATCCGCCCCCCC